CTGGACTGGACAAAGCCCTGGTGGGATGGTTGAGTTGGGACTGGACCCCGTAACCTGAGATCTCTTCCAACCCTCGGATTCTACTACCTGTGATTTTCTTGGGAAGGGGGAAAAAAAAAGAAAAAAAAAAGAAAAGGAAAACCAACAGGAATCAAAAGAAAGCAATTCAGGTTTTGAGTTCGAATGACTTTAGGGGTCACAATTTCCTCTCCTGTTTAGAAATATCAAACCCCAACCCATCTTTTTCATTTGGAAATTTCCTTTCACTGTACCCAAAGCAATTCAAAACCCGGACAAAATCCTAATTCAAAGGAAACGTTTGAGTGTTGTTTGTTTACAACCGCGTTTCATTTCAGAACGGCCTGTCATTTTATTTTAAACCTATTTACAAACATTTGCAAGGAGCTGGAAATCAAAAGGAAATACAGGCAGGCCCCGGGTTACGTCCAAGATAGGGACTGTAGGTTTGTTCTTAAGTTGAATTTGTATGTAAGTCGGAACTGGTACATATTGTAGGGGAAACTCGAGCCAAACATTTCTCCAGAGCTCAGTTTTATTCTCCCAAACCTCACTTCCCTCAGTCCTTTATTCTCAAGCTGAGGTGTCTGCTGAGAAAAGCCGCTCCGTGTCTCCCTGGTCTGCTGGGAGGGGGCGCTAGCTCCGCGTCTCCCTGGTCTGCTGGGGGGAAGCAGCTAGTGCGGGGTTGCCTCACCCCGTTTGTAAGTAGGGATCCGATGTAAGTTGGATCCATGTAACCCGGGCACTGCCTGTATTTGGGTGGGTTTTTAAAAATTATTGAACATAACATTTCAGTTCTGCATTTCCTTTTAATTTCTTAATTTCTAAAACTCCCCACACGTTTTGAAAAGCCCAGAATCAACAGGAAATGTTTCCTCTAAGCCCAAAGGAATCTTTTTTGACGTATTCATTTGCCAAAAATCCTATTCTCAGTCTTTCATAATTGCCAGCAAGGCAAAGTATCTCTGATTCTTCCGGGCTCTCGGTAGCCTGCTGGTTCTCCGACTCAGTTCCTCACAAGTGTTTAAATGTTACAGTACTAAATACCTCAGAGATCCAGACCTCAGTACATAGGGTCATTGCAAAACCTCTGATGTAAGCGCTGGCTGTTTCCAACCGCCTGTGCAGTGCCTAGCTTGGTCTCTCAGCTGGCAAGCTCAGTCCTTAAAGGCACAATTTCCACCACAGCTGCGTGAGAAGATAGGGTGTCTAAAGGGGGCCAGTGGGTTCTTTGGGCGAGTGGAGGGAGCTGGACTGGAAGGAGAGAGTGGTTGGGTGGGTGATTCTATAGGTTTTCACCCAAAGGCTCTGTCTAGACTGGCAAGTTTTTCCGCCAAAGCAGAAACTTGCCAGCTGTCTACACTGGCCGCTTGAATTTCCGCAAGAACACTGACGTTCTCATGTAAGAAATCAGTGCTTCTTGCGGAAATACGATGCTGCTCCCGTTCAGACAAAAGTCCTTTTGCGCAAAAGGGCCAGTGTAGACAGCAGAGATTTGTTTTCCGCAAAAAAGCCGCAATCGCGAAAATGGCGATCAGGGATTTTTTGCGGAAAAGCGCGTCTAGATTGGCCACGGACGCTTTTCCGAAAATGCTTTTAACGAAAAACTTTTCCGTTAAAAGCGGTAACAGAAAACTTTTCCGTTAAAAGCATTTGCGGAAAATCATGCCAGTCTAGATGCAGCCAAAGTGTTTTCCTCCCACCTGTTTGGCAGGCGTCTGAGTCCAATGGGAGTAACCAGAAATGGGAGGCGGAGAGAAAAGGATCCCACCTTGCCCGCATGACCCCTACAACGGCTTTAAGTTCTGTCTTCCTCCCACTAGCCATATCTACACCCTCACGCTGCCTTCGAAGTCTGCCGCGGTCTCTGTGTGGGACTGGGTTGCTCATTCCATGCCCTGAAGGCACCACACCTGGGCCACCTGGCT